AAAAAAAAAAAAGAAAAAATGAGGGTATACATTTCTACGTATTGTTACTCGTCGTATGTTGAACCGGGAAGAAAGATGAATGGTATGATTACCTGTAACCATAATGCGCCTTCTACGCGACTTACGATTCCTGTTTCCCGGAACCCTAATTTCTGGCTTGCCGATTCTCTGTCTCGGCTGCGGGACCGGTGGTACGTTCGTTCTGTTTCGGCTCGCGGTCGCCGGCACGTTGTTGGCCGTGACCGCGGCATTCGTTTGATTCTCTGTCTGCAACCACTGTGCCGCCACATCCTGCGCGGGTTCCTGTTCCTGCTCCGGTTGCGACGGTGGAACTTCACCCAGGACTATCATGCGGGACTCACCGCCTACGATCGGCAATATTATTCCACCTTTCGACATTCACTCTTTTCCGCTGCTAATACAGACAGTATGTCCGGTTTAATTCTTTGTTCTGTTTGATGTGCGTACGTTAGGACAGAAACGATTACCTCGACTGTTTCGAGAAAAGATCATTTCAATATTAAAACGGTATTTTAATATTAGACTTTGATATGAGATTTTATTTTAACGCTGAGAGATGAGATTTTTAATATTAAAACACTTTCAATTGTTCCTTAAAATGATAATTTGTTTCTTCCGTTGTTGTTTATACTTTTTTGATAGTCCTTTAACGTGCAAAGGCCTAACAAGATTTTACTTAGCAGTCCGAATTTGTTTAAACTGCATGTTACAGTTTTTCCACCTAAACTCTACTCTCATCTTTCGTGTATATACGATTATATTACCCGATACAAGGCATAGATGAAGTGTTCACTCCTCGCAATTATGAATGACGTTGAACAATTTAGCGATCAAGCGATCGTGCATATTTTAAACCGAACATACTGCGCGTCGATATAATTCTTTACAATGGCTCTACTTGCAACGACCACGACGTCCAACCGGAAGTCACTAGCTCTGCCGATTCTTCTACAATCTCTTGGCTCGACTTGATGATCTCACGGCCTGCGAATCAATATTCGAAACGCATATTGTTCGCGAACATCCGTCCTTTCTCTCCGTTTCGGCAGACAATAAATCAAGAATATTTCGATTACCAGCATCCAAGCTGATCTTCTCGTTCATCTGTTCGTTTTTGCCATCCTGTCGAGTCCGTGGCCCACCGTGATACTTGCAGATCCACTGGCAGGGACTGTACATCAAGCACACGTGCTCTCGTTAGTGTGCTTATCCTTGTTTCTCGGTGCACTTGATTTACTCGGTTAACACGGTTTTAGACGCAACGCGATCGAACTTCACGCTCAAGCTGCACCATCCATTACTTTGCTTTGCTTTGCTTTACTGTTCCCCGGAAACGCGAGTGCGCGCGCGTCGTGCTCGACGAGACGTGCGAGACGAAAGAAATGCGATTAAACGAGGGAAATCAAACGCGAACGATGCGAACGACGAGTGAACAGCCCGCGAGAAATCAAGCCGCGATTCAAGCGGGCGCGTTGCACGGATGACGTTTTCGAGGCGACGTCAGGCTCTCCTCTCGCCCTTTGTTTGTGCGCTTTCGGTTATTGATCGCGAACGGTCTCGGGCTTGAAATGCTTCAAGTCGTGCCTACCGTCGTGTATCATGATTCATACAGATCGACCCTTCTACTCCTCCTCCTCCATGAAAAAAAATTAGTCACGACCCATATTCACCCCCCAACATTGGGACGATGATTAAACACGGAAATTAATCTCTTTCCAACGTCTTGATCGACTCGAACGATCACGCCGGAGAGGAGAAATTTCGAACTAGTCTGGTTAGCCAATGTGGTTAATACAGGAGGGTACTTAATAATGAAATATTTAATCGTCGGAGTACGAGCGTTGAATAATTATCATTATTGTTGGTATTATTATTATTATTATTATTATTAGAAAGAAACACAGATACCACTATTCTGGCTGCACTGCGTTGCAATTGCCGAATTCTACTCTCAAGAATTGGGCATACGAACATTAGATAATTGTCATATTATGACTTGATCGTAAATGTGATTATTGTTATTGATAAAAAAAAAAAAAGAAAATAACACGAATACCACTGTACTGGCCGCACCACGTTGCAATTACGTAGTTCTATCCCGCAAGAATATGTTAAGGGTGAGAGATATGCGACCCTGTACAGGCACTGCGCTCTCTCGTTCATCCCCGCCGCGCATGTGTACTCTCGATTAAATATATTTCTGTAAAAAATGCTTGTCGCACGTGTGCAACGCGTGGTTTGTGTATGCACACCATTGGTCCATAAAATTCTAAACGTACGGATTGCAACCGTATTGACGTTACGGATGAAACAACTCGGTTAAGATGTTTCTGCTTATAAAGACATAGTTCACTGTTTTTGCAGGAACTATGAAAGTTACTTGCTTCGAGAGAGAACCACTTACTGTTATTCATTTAACGTGAACATCCATTTGAAATTGAAAGAAGACAGAGTAAAATAAAT